GTCTCATAGAGCAAATACGTTTACATAAATTTACCAGTATATGCCATAAAGCCTTTGACAGGAATAAATGGCTAATAAGATTCCAGTTTCTGACCAGTGAAACATGATACAGAATTATTAGTTCTCATTTGGACAAAGTCCAAATACAGGGACTTTCACAGATTCGCCTCGGTAAAGAAATATATTACGGTATTCCAAAACTGAATCTTGGTCTCGCACAAGCAGATTTTTTTCAAACTTGGTACTTAAGCAAAATTGTCTGATGGCTGTTTCAAAAAATGTAGTGTGAGCCATACACATCTCTGGCATACTGAGTGATTACATTCACTTCCTGTAAATATAATAATGGGACATGTATGCACTCTTATGTATACTTGCATTGAAAACATACAGGGGCTATGTCATGACTTACTTGATGTCATTGCAGGATGCACTAATCCTAATATTGTTTCTTGCTAGATGATGATGAAGATGCTATGGTTTACAGGATTGCATTATGGATCTGTACATTTACCGTGACAGTGTCAGTTGGTGCTGTATTATTACTACCTATATCTATTGTCACAAATGAAGTCTTGCTCTCATACCCCAATAGTTATTATGTTAAATGGCTAAATGAATCCCTTATACATGGTATGTACAACCTATCCTTAAAGTTTCATTCCCACAAATATGTGATACATCACTCCCAGAACAAGCTAAAACTCACAATGTGTTAAAATGATGCTGGTTCATCTAAAAAAATATATTATATTAAAAATAGATATGCCAATGTTCTTATCCTCAAGACAAACAAACCCACAATGTAACTGACTTGGATTTTATTTTCACTGAATCATTCCTTCGGCAAAAATAGAGAAAATTAATTCCAAGCGAAAATAAAGTATTTTACAGTATTTGACGAGCAACATGTGAAGTTGAAACCTCATCTGTTGGCTCCGTGTTCGTATGTTATCATCGCCGCCAGGGAAGTTTTTATGTTACTGTTGCCATTTTGGTATTTGAACCATCACACCTGTACTATACCAATTACGGTAATATTACGTTGCGTGTGACAATGTGATGTTTCCACTAATAAATAAACATGCTATCAATACTGGTTTAAAATAGTGTGTCTAGATTGCTACTGCGAAATTACCACAGTGTATATACATTTCAAGTACATTGTTACAAACATTATGAGTATAAAAAATTGACATGAATCATAACATAGTTGATTTGTTTTAATTTTACACTGAGAGTGAGCTTACATGGTACTCGCTTGAAATATGCGAGTTAAAAATAATATTTAAATTGCTGTAATATGTGTACCTTAGCTTTAAGTACACTGTGACAGACATTGGCTTGATTCTTTATATCAATTGTCAAACCAAATACCCAATGTAAAATTTTTTCAGAACAAAAAATGTTAGAAGCATAAAACAGAGTGAAAATATCAAACATGTTCATATTTGAGTTTATTATGAATTAGCAGTTGAATTTAGTACATATATCTATCATACACGTGATGTTAAAGAGTATAGAATTTCTTTCACCAGAATCATGAATCGATACTCTGATTGAATGTGCTTGGGGACAGAGTACAAGAATAGCCAGGGGGTCTTTTAAGTCATTTTTGCTGGATTCAAGAACACCTGTTTGTATTTTGTACTTTATATCAAATTATAGAATATTGTTCATTTTATTTATTTCAGGTTTATGGAATCAAATCTTCTTGTTTTCAAATCTTGCACTGTTTATTTTAATACCGTTTGCATACTTTCTCACGGAATCTGAAGGATTTGCTGGATCTAAGAAGGTAACAATGTTGGAGACATTATTTCAGATATCTATGGCATTTTATAGGATTATTTTATTTGAAAATTTGAGTTAGATACCCCAGACTGTTGAATTTTGCACCTTATGAATTTAATTTTTTATAGTTTTGGAATAAAAATTCAAATTACCGTATGCTCAACTAATATCTGCCTTGTGCTCGTTTTCTCAACATTTGATTTGACTCATCACTTTCATAAAGTATATAACGCAAACATTTTTTTATTGAGTGTGCTACCTAAAAGTTGTCCGGAGCTTTCAGTTTTATATACAGTCTGATAACTACAGATTGTATCAAAAAGGATTCATTTTGGCAAGCTCCTATGTGTATTTTCGGAATTATTACTCAGTCTCTCCAAAACATCTGCAGAAGAAAATTGAAGCATATATGAATGAGGGGAATTTTCACCCATCATACGTAGGAAATAGATCATTGTGACATTTTGAAAATTTGCATACAAGGCACAATGTCATTTTTACTTTTGAGCTATGCATGTGATAAATTTATAATCCCACAATATTTTCTCTTTGGTTGACCTCAGCAGACACTTGTGATTACCACTAAAATAGCATCATTCCTTGCCAAGGCAAAAGTCTGCCAGTAGTCATGAGTGTCTGCTGATGTCAACCTAAGAAAAAAATTGTGGGATTAGATATATCAGTAAACATAATTCTAATCATGAACAAGGATAGGGATATGTAATATTATCAATTATTTACAAAACCCAAAGGGTATGCAACTCTGAATTGTAAATCCCTGACACCATACCTATTCCAACTTAAATCGGTACAACGTCAATAGTTATATACTGGTGGACAATCTATAGATCTAGTCTTTGTGTTTTTTGTTTTTTTTACAATTTTGCCACCAGTCATATCTTTTTTTGTTGATAATATAAACAGCCCTTGCTTGGACCCTCACACCTAGGTACAACTGTCTAAAGCTTGTATTGTATAAAGTCATAACTATTATCTCAATTTATTTCACAGGGTATCAGAGCAAGGATATATGAAACGTTAGTTGTGTTGTTTTTACTTGGAATGCTAGTGTTTGGTTTTACATGGGTTTTATCAGCACTTTTAGATGAAAATAAGGTCACTGAAGAGTCCATAAGTGGTAAGTGTTGTGCTATTATAATTACCGGGTACCACAGACTACTTGCATGACATTAACACATACTCAAGCTACCGTAGTTTAGAAGTTTGTTTATTATTCCATGGGCTGTATGCAAATTATTGGGATTAATTACATCTATGAAACCCATTAGCTCAACCTTCATTCTGAACAAATAAATTATTGAATATTTCACAAATCTTTTCTTTTAGAAACAGTTTCATAATAGTGAATCCTTATTGTTGTGTATTTGTGACAGACATTTAAAATTGTTTTCGTTATTTCTTCTATTAATTTTTTTCAGATTTTTGGGATTTTTATTTGCCATATTTATATTCGTGTATATCTTTACTTGGTGTTTTAATGCTGCTTAGTAAGTATGTCTTACAATTATTACTACATTGTGTGTACACCTGATATGAACCTAGTAATATCTCATCACACTCAGATATGTAGATTTTATTTGTTGAATGAAAATACTAGAGATCACATATATTATGGGGCATTGTAGTATGGAAAGTAGCCAATAAATAGGAATTGAGATATTACTAGCAATGTAGCTAGGTATATGAGGAGTGGTATGCCACTTAGATGCCGATGAAATACCATAGTGAGCGTAATGTTTGTAGTAATCTAAATAGGAATTGAGATATTACTAGCAATGTACCTAGGCATATGAGGAGTGGAATGCCACTTAGATGCCGATGAAATACCATAGTGAGCGTAATGTTTGTATAAATCTAAACAGGAATTGAAATATTACTAGCAATGTACCTAGGCATATAGGGAGTGGAATGTTTGTATAAATCTGCAGAGGTAATGAAATATTACTAGCAATGTACCTAGGCATGTATGGAATGGTATGCCACTTAGATGCCTATGAAATAACATAGTGAGTGTAATGTTTGCGTAAATCTAAACAGGAATTGAGATATTACTTGCAATGTACCTAGGCATATAGGGAGTGGAATGTCACTTAGATGCCGATGACATCCCATAGTGGGCATAATGTTTGCATAAATCTAAATAGGAATTGAGATATTACTAGCAATGTACCTAGGCATATAGGGAGTGGAATGTCACTTAGATGCCGATGACATCCCATAGTGGGCATAATGTTTGCATAAATCTAAACAGGAATTGAGATATTACTAGCAATGTACCTGGACATATGGGGAGTGGTATGCTACTTAGATGCCTATGAAATAACATAGTGAGTGTAATGTTTGCGTAAATGTAAACAGGAATTGAGATATTACTTGCAATGTACCTAGACATATAAGGTGTGGAATGTCACTTAGATGCCGATGACATCCCATAGTGGGCATAATGTTTGCATAAATCTAAATAGAAATTGAGATATTACTAGCAGTGTACCTGGACATATGGGGAGTGGAATGCCACATAAATGTTCATGACATCCCATAGTGGGCATAATGTTTGCATAAATCTAAATAGAAATTGAGATATTACTAGCAGTGTACTTAGGCATATGGGGAGTGGTATGCCACTTAGATGCCAATGAAATACCATAGTGAGCGTAATGTTTGTATAAATCTAAATAGGAATTGAGATATTACTAGCAATGTACCAAGGCATATGGGGAGTGGTATGCCACTTAGATGCCAATGAAATACCATAGTGAGCGTAATGTTTGTATAAATCTAAATAGGAATTGAGATATTACTAGCAATGTACCAAGGCATATAGGGAGTGGTATGCTACTTAGATGCCTATGAAATAACATAGTGAGTGTAATGTTTGCGTAAATCTAAACAGGAATTGAGATATTACTTGCAATGTACCTAGGCATATAGGGAGTGGAATGTCACTTAGATGCCGATGACATCCCATAGTGGGCATAATGTTTGTATAAATCTAAATCTAAATTGAGATATTACTAGCAGTGTACCTGGACATATGGGGAGTGAAATGCCACATAAATGTTCATGACATCCCATAGTGGGCATAATGTTTGCATAAATCTAAATAGAAATTGAGATATTACTAGCAGTGTACCTGGACATATGGGGAGTGGAATGCCACATAAATGTTCATGACATCTCATAGTGAGTGTGAATGTGAATGACAGTTAGATATTACTAGCACTAGCTCGGCATTAGAGGAGTGCTGAATACATTCTAGGCTAATGCATTATTATTTGTATCAATGTATTTCTACAAATTACTAACATTGTATTTTCTTTTCATCCATTATGTGCAGTTTCCACACCTGTTGGTGTTACACGTCTCTTCTCTGTTATTGGTCAGTTAGTTGTCAAACCCCAGTTTATGCAAGATTTAGATGATGAAGTTAACTCAGCCAGGTTTGAGGAAGATGACATAAAGAGAAAATTACAAGGTATTGTGACATAAAGGAATGAGATCACTGGTATGGAGATCAGTAAAAGATAATTGTGAACAACTTTCATCACTGTACTATTATGTTCATAAAATGCATTTCAATTATAATCTATAATTTTATCCATTTATTTTAATCACTATTGTTTTTAAGCAATTTAAATTAACACTTGCAGATAGCATATGAAAAAGCTGAGAGTTTTGTGTACATAGAAAATTTCAATTCGCTATTTGGCTCACTTCTTTCAGGAACAAGACAGTATGACTGCAGTTGAGTGCTTAAAAATTACCATAAAGTTGAACTTGATATTTGGATCTTGAAACAATAGCAGTGAACATTTTTTTCAAATTTTAATTTTCTCAAACCAACATTACTTATAAGGGTTTTCTGCAGTTGTACAAAAAATATGATCTATACATTTCCAATGGTAGAACATGTAAACTGAAAAATTATCTTAGCTATGTTAGAGGCACAACTATGTAAGATATTGTCTTTTGACTTTTTGCTGTTGTCTTGATATTTTTCGTTTGCTAAATATGAAAAGTTTACAAAAATGAAAAGAAAATGAAATCATGAATAATAGAAATATATGGTACCGAGAGTGATTCCATAGCATTTTTCCATCATTTGCTATTTATATATAAACAGAGGCTTGATTTGAATTCCAGTACCCCCTAACTTCAAAAATGTTAAATCTAGGCGTCTATTTTATATTCGCTACCATTCTTTCAGTCTTGAGTCAACTCATTGGCATTGATATTGCCTGCATAATACAGATATCCATCTAGAGGAAACTTATTTTCTTTTGTTTTCAAGATTTAAGTAATATCCATGACACTCCAGATTCCAGACTTCTTCTGCAACAACTAGACGCCGTCGTCAAGACTTGTACGGAGGCTCTGCAAAATTATAACTCTCTAGGAAGTATGCACGAACTCTTTTTTCCCCATTTCTTTCCAGTTGTACTAAACCATGATTTTCCATACATGCACTATAGAGGGTGTTAAACTAAACCTCTAAATTTTGAAACTGATCATTGAACCTAAACCTTGTTTATGAGCTGTTCATTTATCAATCTATTCAAACACCGCCCTCTATAGTTGTACACAGTATTTGTCATCATCTGTTGTCTTTATCATACTTATCACAACACCTACAGTGCTACTGTCCAGTCATCCACTACACTTTTACAAGGGATGCACAAGTTAGAAATTGATGGGTTTTTTTTAATCGGTTAATTTTTATATTGGCTCTTTTGTCACATTATATACAAAATTACATCATATGATATAGAAAGCATCATCAAATTGTAAAACCCTGTGCATCCCTTTACGGTTTCACTGTATTTACTAATAGCTCTAGTTTATATTGTAGTTTAGAAGCAATAATCGGCACAGAGCACTGTGACATTGTTGTATGCATATACTGTATACACTTAATGACTGGCTTTACTTCTCTAATGTATAGATGGCAGCCACACCACCATTCATCAGAACGGTCAGAATGACCTTAGATTACGATTGAAAGAAATACAAAAAGATCGAAAAGAACTTGAGAGAAGACAGAAAGCTTCTCCTTGGCAGAGGAATTTTTTGTACCCATTACTATGGCTCTTCTTATTTGCACTGACTGTAGCATCTCTTTGTATGGTGGCCTGGAATATATTTGAATTACTTCTGGGTTATGGTTCCTTGCCAGTTGGTGTTAAGGTAATATTGCTACACATTTATGAATTAAATAATCAAGTTTTAAGTTCCGAGCACACTTCTGCAACAGATCATGGTTTGATTTTTGTTCGTAAGCTGGTTTGCCTCAATTTTTCACACAAGTTGTATAGACAAAATTGTATATTGGCTCCCAGAAATATCATACAAAAGTGTGTATGAATACCAAGATGTTATAAATTATATTTTGTTGAACTTCATTGTGTGCATGTATGAATGTAAAAACTTGCTTTCTGTATTTTATGAACATTACCGAAACTTTCAAAAGTAACAAAACTGAAGCTTGTATATCATATTTGCTCTACTAGAAAACTGTATGTTTACATAAATTTACAGGGATATTTTTATGGTCAAAATAAGTAAAGGTTCTGTATACAACAAATGTGGTTTTTGTTTTATATGCGATCCTATTGGAGATTCGCTTCTAATAGAGCAATACAGTGGTAAAATAAAATATTATGTTACTACCGATACATATTCAGATTATTGTTTCAATTTCAGGAACTTGCTTTAGGTAAAGCGTCACTCTCAACACTTGGATCATTTGGTGCTGTGTTAGAAGTTTTACTCATACTGTATCCTTAGTTGTACAATACATGTATTTTTGTCTATAAATGAACATGCCTTGACATTTTATGGCACCGTAGCTTTGACCACCGTCACCCTGGTGGTGAGAATCTGATGTACATAGAAATATGTTTTAGCTCCCAACTTCCAACAAAATTTAGATGAAATTAAAATTATTTCACAGCCATACAATGAAACAGTAATTATTGTTAAATTACAAATCACATTATTTGTGATTACAACAATGTATATATTTTAGTGCTACAATTGAGTTTGATAGGTCATACATTCTAAAAATAACAGGGATAGTGTTCACTCTATTTTCTATATCATCATGAAAAACATTGAAAAAAACCCTAGAATGAATGAAGATAATTTCCTGATCTGCACACTAAGGAAACTTGTACATTTGTACAGAATTTAAAATTACAAAATAACCACAGTGAACTTCCATGGCAATGTTGTAGTTTGTATGCGTAGAACATTCAAACCAGGGATTGTGTTAACCCTAATTTTCTCTTTCCGGAAACCCAATACTAAAGAGGGACCCCAATTTTGGAACAAAAACATGTCCCATTTGAGATAAAGTTACACCGAATATATTGTCAACCCCTCTGTAATTTCTCATCACGAATCGCCACACCAAAATGTTAATGTCATCCCTGATGCAAACACATACATTGTCAATGCTAGCCACAAATACAATGTTAGACAGTTGTCATCGGTTCTTGGGACATAAGATTACTTACAGTGGTACCGGGGTAGTACACATCTATATTTCAATCTTGTAATCGTTTGATAACTATTTATACTTAACACATTGTGATTCAGTTATGTGATGTTAGCTTCATTAGTCGGATTCTACAGTGTACCATTCTTTCGGTCATTACGCCCAAAATGTAATGACACTGCCATGACCAAAATCATTGCAAATTCTACTGTTCTACTTATACTCAGCTCAGCCTTGCCATTGCTTTCAAGAAGCATCGGTAAGTCAACTTGTTTCCTTTTAATATAATAAATCTATTCAAGGTATAGAGGCTATCAGCTTTTAAATACAAATGCAATGAAACTTATTGCCTGGCAAGTGTGTATTATATGTATTCTTTTTTTTCTTACAAATGTATCATTTACATAATTTCATGGGGATTTTGGGGAGGGGAGGCAGTGCTCCCTCTAAGCATTGCACTGAACAATCGTGTATTTTCGCTAGGAACGTCAATTATAAAAAAAGTACAAGTATTTATGAATAAAGTTAATCAATTTTGTGTTTTCTGGACATTTTTGATTTGATAAATATGAAAAGTTCACAAATATGAAAAGAAAATGACAATAAAAAGTACACCAAAAATGTTAACATGAGTACTGTAATATGAATATATGGTTCGTAGAGTGATTCCGTTACATTTTTCCATCATTTGCAATTTAAACATAAATTTACAGAGACTTGATTCAAATTCCAGTGCCCCCTAACTTCAAAAAAAATCAATTGGTGACATTTTACTTCACAACTTTGTTAGGTTACAGATCAAATGAGACAGAGGTAACACTGATAGGAAACCCAGGATAGATATAATCAATGTCACAAATAACTCACCAATAATATTTTTTTCACACTATTTTTTTTAATTGCAGGTATCACAAATTTTGACCTGCTTGGTGACTTTGGTCGCATAGACTGGCTGGGTAACTTCTACATAGTGTTTTGTTACAACGCATTATTTGGTGCAGCTACTGCCTCCTGTCTTGTCAATAAATTTACAATTACAATGCGAGACTATCTACTGGATAGACTGGGAATTAACCGTGACAAATCAGCTGTTATGAATCCACTCTCAAAGGCAGTCAACGGTCGAATGAGTGTAATGAAATCATCCAAGTCACCTTGTTTGAAATTGGATTGATACCAAGTGTGAACAACGCTTTCAAACACCAGCACCTCCGTTAAGGAGCTCAGGCTTATAAGGGATATTGAGTACATGCTGAGAATATCTTTCCTCGCTGAGTTTCCTGTGATTTTAAGGAAACTAAAAGAGTATACACGTACTTAACGCTGCATAATGTCAATCTTATTTGTGTCCAGATCAGAGTTACAACATTACGTATATCAAGCTTTGCTATCATAGACTGGCTGTTTATAATAAGTGTCCTGCTGTTTTAGCCATAAACTGGTCAGATATAAATTATCAGTCTGTATTGTCTTAGACTGACCATTCAAGAATTCAGACCATGTGATGTGTCTCTCATTGACCATATATTGTGTGGTTGTATGCTATATTTTTATTTCTAAATGGAAGGTAACGTAAACATCAAACTGCTATTAAGCAACTTATATCCACAACTGTGTTAAGTTAAAAAGTATCAAGTCCATACAACTGAACTGAAAGGTGTTGGATACCTACTACCAGTATCGTTTTCGAGCTACATTCATATTGAGATGTGATAAATATGACTTATGGAAAATAATTTGAAATTTATCTTGTGATGGTTTTTAGTATATGGTAGCATGAATGCTACCTCATTGAGATTTTTAATTTGGGCTTAAAGAATGACACTGCCCTTTATTGCGTGATTACATAATAATGGACGAGGCAAATATTTCAATTATATTACCCGGGAATTTAATATATGCATGCAGTGGTATAGTGCGCTTGAGAGGAAAAAAAGTGGATTGCATTGTTTAGTATTTCAGTTACGCATAGAACGTCCACAAGCAAACAACATGCAAAACATAGTACCAGATGAAAAAGCATATGAATTTTTTAAAGTGAAAAAACAATGATCGTTTGTTGGTTGGTGGTTAAGCGGGTATGGAAAAACATGTGCAGTATATTTCTTTGTTTGTGCATTGATGTACTAGAGTACTGCAAAGTTATCATCTGATAACTGGGCTTCATGTGGTACAAATCTACCAATGAGAATGCAGCATTTCAATAATAGGCTGCATGTGATCTAATACATTTGTAATAGATAATATTGTGCAAAATACTCTACTAGCACTTTGTCAACTTTTTAAAATTACTTAACTACAACAGCTTGTCTGTGGCAACTGACTGCGGTATACGGAATAGGTGATTTTCCGTACAATTGCGAGATCTTGCGAGATGTATGAAAGACGCGTGTCGAATGTCTGCCGCAAAAGTCGAACGATTTGATTTTGAACTAGAATTTCTTTATTTCGTAACTCACATCGACCGACGGATCTTCGACAGAGGAATATTACTTCGGAATACCCTTTACTTAATCGAAAATCCCATCATGAAAAGTGGGCAGCACATGATTAAGCATGGAAATGTCCATCAAAATACTTTGCGTTTGTCGAATCCCACGCGATGTTTGACGCCACTACGATGCTATGACCTTTGTTTGTCCTGTTTTTACGTTCGATTTCAGCATAATGCGTGATTCTCGCAGTGAACGGAAAATGGTCTATTGTAAGCATGTTTGACTGTGACAAGTAAATATTTGTAGTAATAGTAATAGCTCAAACGTACTTCTTTATAATCCTTATAGGGAGTGATCATTTCATTCCATCAAATATAAATTCCCACTTTGTAGCATGTGCAGCACGCCTCACAATTGATTATCCTGATCACTGTGAGAAATGTTAAAATCAGTTAATTTGGCAGCAAATCCTAAAACTTTGAACTACTAAGCTACCCTGCACTGAACATTTTCATTATTCTCTCAGAGTCACTTCATCTGAAGTGTTCTTTTCGAAATTCCATTGTATAAGATGAACTGAACAATCCAATGCCCTTGTGATGCTCACATGTAACAGTGAGAGGTGTTCTACAGATCATACAAAGTGGGAATACAATTTTAATGAATTTAGGTAATT